GATCCTTCTGCCTCAGCCTCCCGAGTAGCTAGGACTACAGGCATGCACCACCCCACTTGGCTCATTTGGACATTTGTGTAACTATCACCAAGTGTCTTTGGTCTGGTTGAAGTTCCCTAATATTCTCTACTTGTCTTCTGGCTGCTGAGCAGTGGAAAGGGGATGAGCAGAGTGGAGGGACAGTGAGAGGCCTGGGTGCCAGCCCCTCCTGAGGGGAGGGCCCTCAGGAAGCCCAGGCAGGAGGGGGTTAGCAGGCCAGGGCTGGAGCCTGGACTCTAGTTTCTCTGGGCCTGCCAGGGTGCCATCTGGTAGTTTCTTCCTTTCTGTACAGTCCCTGGTGAGCTGCAGGCGGGGGAAAATGCGCTAAGGAAAGCAGCTTCAGAGAGTTTTAGAGGGCAGGAAGGGTTGCTTTCTTTCTAAGAACTTCTGCTTTCTTCTGCCTCAGCCTCTGTGGTGAGGCCAAGCAGGGCTGCTTCTTTGGAGCCAGGGCTGTTCTGCTCAGCTACTCCCTAGTGCTGGGTGTGGGAATCACTCATCGCCCCACCTCTCAGTCTCATGGGCCAACCCAGGTCGCACACAGCCCACACTGACGCGTGGGTTCGCGTTTTATCCTCACCTGCAGTGACTGCACTTTTTTCTTCTTGGGAGCAAATGGAGAAGTGCCCTGGGAATCCCATCTTCCTCTTCCTGCGTCTGAGGCTGGTGAGCAGCTGAAAAAGAAAACTGAGAAGCCAACTAGTCAACAGTCTGACTCTTCCACCCCTGCATAATTTTGACTTGGCCGTACAGCCAATCTCATTTTCTCAATAGCCCTATGACACGAGGCAGCTGTTGAAACCATAGGCCCTAGTTATGCTCCACCTGCCTAAGAGTGGGTCTGCCCAGGGAGATCCCTGGGGAACCAGTGCTGTCTGTCTCTAGTATTTTGGGGGTTTTGCTCCCTGTAATACTTCCACAATTTTCACTATGGCAAAGCAAAATTTCAAGTTGGGCCGATCACTCTGTCCAGAAAGTACAGATTCTTTGAAGAAAAGTGCTCTATAAACCCAAAGCATTATTAAATTTACTTGCACTGTAAGACGCTTTTACTCAGATCCAAAAATTCTGTGTATCCAGCTGAAGGATGAAGCCAGTCAGCTCACACATGAGCTCCCTGTTCTTAAATAAACTCTAGGTTTTGCTCAAAGCCTTCTGATGGATTTGTTTAAAACTGTGCCTTGCCTTGCCTTCAAGAACTTCATCACACCTGTCATCAGTCTAGTACTGTTCAGTCTATCACTGTTTTGCAAAGAGATAAGTATGATAGTTCTCAGTGTAGAGAACAAAACTTCATATTGGATAATTGCAGGAAACTTGACTATAGTTCACTAAAGAATGTATTTTTATGAGTAAGGATATAGCATTTCAAAAAATAGGTCAGGGTGCTTTTAGGGAACCCAGAGAGCCCACAAGTGTTCTCTGCAGGTGTAATAATTGGGCAGTCTGTTCAGCCTCCCACCACTGTTCCCTCCTGTTTTTTTTTTCCAGGCTGTGACACCTCAGGAAGGGGCTGCAGGCAGCTCTCCTCTGAATCCTTCCCTATGACATTTCTCTGCCTTCTTCACACACAAATCAGCCTCACTAACACCTTAGCTTCTAATTTTAGCTGCTATTTTGCATTTTGCATAGCATGCAAGGAAATATAATGCAGAATTTAGACAGAAAAAAAACTAGGCTGTTTTCTCCTGATACATTGGCAGGGATCCACATTTGATGGTTAAAGGCTGATAGCAATGAGAACAGCAGGGGCCAGAATGGTTGTGCCCTCCCCCATCTGCATTAGCAAGCCGTCTCTTTTCAGGGTTCCCTGAGCTAGCTAGAGCCTTTCTGTTCTTTTCCCTCTGCTCTGATGACTGAGTATGGCTTCAGAAACTGTTAAACATAACTCCTGGCTTGGTGAAAATTGAGTTTGACACAGATCATCGATCATGTTGAAAGGAAGTGTGTGTGTGTGTGTGTGTGTGTGTGTGTCTGTGTGTGTGTGTGGCAGAGAGGATTGTTTCATATAAGAATCCTGAACTAGATTCAAGAATCTGTTCAGACTAAAAGCTCAATAGACCTACATTATCAGACAGGCAGAGGTCCATGTCCTATACCCTATATCAGGTGGAATGTCTCCCAGGGCAGGACTGGGGCAAAACTTCAACCACTGCTACTCAAAGTGTGGCAGTATCAGCGTCATTTAGGGCCTCGTTGGAAATTCAGGCTTTTCAGGTGGGGCTCCTGCAAAATTTCATTAATGAAACAAAGCAAAACAACCCCCCACCATACAAACCAACCTTTGTTATTGTGAAATCTAACATAGAAAAGTGTATAGATGAATTAAATACAGGGAATCCTGTAAAACTAAATGAATTATAATAAAAGGGATCTCATGTCATATCCATACAGGTCAAGAAATAGAACATTGTTTGTATCCCAGGTGGCCCCTGCCCAAGAGGATTCCAACTCCCTTCCCTATCTTTTTTTTTGGTTGCAGCCATCATTGTTGATTGGCAGGCCTGGGTTGGATTCGAACCTGCCACCTTAGGTGTATGTGGCTGGTGCCTTAGCCACTTGAGCCACAGGAGCCAAGCCATCCCTTCTCAATCTTGAAGGTAACCCTCTCCTGACTTTGGGGGTAATCAGTTCTGTTTTTTCCTATCTATTTTTTCTATCTAAGAAGGCATCCCTACATAGCACAGGGCAGTTTTGCCTATTTTGACCTTTTTCTCTTCTTTTTCCTTTTTTTTTGAGATAGTCTCACTTTGTCACCCTCTGTAGAGTGCTGTCACATCATAACTCACAGCAACCTCAAACTCTTGGGCTCAAGTGATCCTCTTGTCTCAGCCTTCCAAGTAGTTGGGACTATAGGCGCTTGCCCCAACATCCGGCTATTTTTAGAAATGGAAGAGTCTCACTCTTACTCAGGCTGGTCTTGAACTCATAAGCTCAGGCAATCCACCTGCCTCAGCCTCCCAGAGTGCTAGAATTACAGGCATGAGCCACGGAGCCTGGCCTTAGACCTTTTTCTAAATAGAATCATAAAGTGGATGCTCCTTTTATCTGAGAGATTTCATGACATTTTTAACAAGCAATTCTTGCTTCGTAGAACTGCCACGCCCTCTTACTGTTTAGATTAGTAGCAACACCTCAGAGAGGCCATTGTCTTTCTTTAAAATTATAGTCAATTCAGATCGATTTGGTTATGAGGATTTCGCGGTGCTCCTTCAGGCAGTTGTTATTCCTGGGATGTTGCTGAGTCAGGACTAGCTATTACTGCTCCAGGGCTCCAGCCTGTCTGCTCTGTGTCGGGGTGGAATGCGGAGGTGGGGTGGTCTGGAGGCCCCTCAGGAGGGGCATTCACGGAAGGAAATGCTCGGAGCTGTGGGTGACATTGCACGAGCTTCAGGATGGCCTAAGGCTATTTCTAGGTAATGTGTGTCTGCCTTTGTGCTCATTTCACTCAGGTTTTCTGATCCATCACACAAGCAACAGCTCTGCATGAGGCAGAGTGCTGGAAGGTGAAGATGACAGGGCACATCAACGGTGCAAGGACAGTCAGTCTTTTCCCCAGACTCTTGTTCCCTACAAAAGTTAAAAGTGTGGCCTTTGAGTCAGGAGGGTTCTGGTCCTGGCTTTGCCACTTATGTGACCATAAGCTCATCTTCATTTCCGTAATGCATTTTATAATAGTACATACCTCATGGGGCTATTTGATGATTAATTTAGAAGTGCTTGAAAAAATGCTTAGCTTAGCATCTGACTAACACTAATTCCAGCTAACAGGGAATGCTTCCAACGTGCCAGAGACTCAACTCCTATGTGATCAATTCCACTGTTATCCTGAATTTCAGATGAGAAACTGAGGCTCAGAGAGGTTAACAAATGTGCCTAGGATCCCATGGTTGGTAGTATGTGCAGAGGCAGTTTAACCCCCTAAACCACTCTGTCATGTAGCCATTTTCATCTGTTTTAGTTTAGCTCTTGGTATCCTTGATGCGTTTCTCCTTTATTTGTTTCAAATTTCTCATTTGGCCTCTAGTGCAGCCAGGATCCTATCTGCTGCAGGTCCAGGATCAGCCTGATGAGACAGTTAGAAATGAGGCTGGCCTGTAAAACTTGAGGACGGTCCTACCTCCTGTTAGAGGACCTCTTTTTGAATTGTCCCTCGCAATAGGAGCTAATGGCCGCCATGGAAGCCATGTGGGATCTTAGCGATGACTTTACAAAGCACTAGCTTCCTGTGAAGCCTCACATCTCCCCGACCCAGGATCCTGCAGCTGTGAGTAGCCAAAATGTTTCAAGGGTTCAAAAATGGTCCCCCCCCCCAAAAAAAAAAAAATATATATATATATATACACACACACATATATATATATATATACATGGTCCTGCAAGGATGGTGTAAAGGAACTGGTGACAGTTTGGTAGCAGCATATTTGTGGCTCTTTTCTTTCTTTTTTTTCTTTTGTTTTGTAGAGACAGAGTCTCACTTTATCACCCTCAGTAGGGTGCCATGGCATCACACAGCTCACAGCAATCTCCAACTCCTGGGCTTAGCCTCCCAAATAGCTGAGACTACAGGTGCCCACCACAACGCCCAGCTATTTTTTTGTTGCGGTTTGGCTGGGGACAGGTTTGAACCTGCAGCCCTCATTGTCTGGGGCCGGCACCCTACCCACTGAGCCACAGGCACTGCCCTTTTTATTTTTTTTTACTCATTAAAAGTCACATTTACTAATCTAGCACCATAATTCCAGTCTTAGAATCTCCTGTGTAGCTGAAAGGGGATACGGAAAGAGGTGAGGTTGTTGGAAATGTAAGGAGCCTCATTTTTGCTCTAAGGCAACACGGGGGTCTAGCAAAGAAGAAACTTGCTGAGACTGGAGATGAAAACAAAAGCTTTTGGTTCACCTGGTAAAGGCAGCACTCAAGAGTAGGAGAATCAGTGTATCTGGAAGGAAACGCTGGAGTTGGCCTTATGAACTAGGGGGTTTCTTCTTGGCATCCAAGTCCTTCTTAATTTCTTCAAGAGTTTTAGCCAGGTTTGGTATGTCATATTCTGAGCCAGAAACATTCCCAACTGTGTTGGCCAAAGTAACCGTAAGCAGGCACTGGAGCATGATGGCAGCAAGGAGGGTACCAAGGGAGGCTGCGGCTCCCCTGGCTGGTCCTAACCTGCCACCACCACTCTGATGCTGACTTTGAGCAAGACAAGGAAGTTGACAAGAAGCAACTTACAGAAAAAGATGAGCTGGGTGGTGCCTGTAGCTCAAGCAGCTAAGGTGCCAGCCACATACACCAGAGCTGGGAGGTTCAAATCCAGCTCTGGCCTGCCAAACAATTGCAACTACAATGAAAAAATAGCCAGGCGTTGTGGTGGGTGCCTGTAGTCCCAGCTACTTGGGAGGCTGAGGCAAGAGAATCGCTTAACCCCAGGAGTTGGAGCTTACTGTGAGCTATGACATCACAGCACTCTACCCAGGGTGATAGCTTGAAGCTCTGTCTCAAAAACAAACAAACAAAAACAGAAAAGGATGAGCTAAGCAGAGTGTTTTCCCTCTATTGATGACATAGATGTCGGGCCCTGGAGGAGAATGCTGACGGTCTATTGGGAGCAGACTGTGCCTTCCTTGGTAGCAGCATCAGGATCCTGAGACAGGGGGTGGACTCCTTCTCTTCTTTCCCCACAATTTCGCGATAAGGACATGATCTCTTTATTTTCAAATGTCTAAAGACAATGAAAATCCACAATGTGGTGGACAGAATCATGGATCCCAAAGATGTGCATATCCTAATGCCTGGAGCCTGTGTATATGGGTGGGTCAATGTAAACACAAATGTTCTAAGAAAGGGAGGAGTCAGAAGTTCTTATGAAATGCAGGAGAGTAGTTTCATAGTGATGAAATGTGAGAAAGACTCAGTTGGCCAATGCTGGCTTTGAAGATGAAAGAAGTCTAGGAGCCAAGGACTGTGACAGCTTCTAGAAGCCGGAGAAGGCGAGGAAGCAGACTGTCTTCCAGTGCTTCCAGAAGGAGCACAGTCTTGCCAACACCTTGATTTTAGCTTAGTAGGATCTGTGCCAGCCTTCTTACATATAGCACTGTTAAGATAATAAATGTCTATTGTTTGAAGCCACCGATTTGTGGCCATAGAAGCTATATAGAAAACTATCATGGCTTGGCACTTGTGGCTCAAGTGGCTAAGGGGCCAGCCATATACACCTAAGGTGGCGGGTTTGAATCCAGCCTGGGCCCGCCAAACAACAATGACGGCTGCAACCAAAAAATAGGCAGGCATTGTGGCGGGCACCTGTAGTCCCAGCTACTTGGGAGGCTGAGGCAGGAGACTCGCTTGAGCCTAAGAGTTGGAGGTTGCTGTGAGCTGTGATACCACAGCACTCTACCCCGGGGGACACTTTGAGGCTCTGTCTCTAAAAAAAAAAAAATAGGCTGAAGGGAGAATTTTTTATATTCTCTCACAAGTACATGAGCTTGTACACATATGCATGTGCTGATAGTGGTTTAACTACCAGTAACTAAGCTACTTATCAGCTGATACACACTCTGGTGGCTCTGGAATTGACCCAGGGAGGTAAAGGGAGGTGGCTATTATTCCTGTGGTCACCATCCTGGAACCTGTGCACCCAGGGAATCCTCAGTGGAGGAGTGTAATGGGTAGCAGGACAGCCTTCCAGAGGGGTATGCTGACTTTCTGGGGTTCTCTGGAGTTACCTTAATTTAGGAAATGTCAACCACCTGGACATTGGGGCCTCCTTGTCCCCTTCCAGCTCTAGCCCCAGCCCCAGTTTAGAGAAGTGAGTTTCTCCCTCTGCTGACTCACCTCTAAAATCACAAAGTGGAGCTGCAGACTAATCCGCAGAGCGGGGAGGAGCAGCAAACCAATAGCATCATGCATGAAGGATGCACCAAGTTCCAAAAGGAAACAGTGACATCACAAAATGTTCTGAGTGTGCCTGTCTTAGAGGTTAATGTAAAGACAGATAATTCCAAACTGCTGAAAATAAATCTAGCTATATTCTTCTTTCTTTTTCTTAGAGGCTGAGTCTCACTCTGTTGCCCTCGGTAGAATGCTAACAGCAACCTCCAACTCTTGGGCTTAAGAAATCCTCTTGCCTTAGCCTCCCAAGTAGCTGGGACTACAGGTACCTGCTACATACCTGGCTAATTTTTCTATTTTTAACAGAGTTGGGGTTTCGCTCTTGCTCAGGATGCTCTCAAACTCCTGAGCCCAGGTAATCCATTCACCTCAACCTTCCAGAGTGCTGGGATTACAGGCATGAGCCACCGTACCTGCCCAGAGCTATATTTTTCGATAAACTTTTATATTTACATTTTAAGCATTTTAAGAGAAAAATGAAACTTTCAACAAGTACAATGAAACTAAAGTTTTGAACAAAAAAGAATGGCTTCCCAAAGCAAATTTATGAGGCCATTTTAGAGGGCAGTAGGCCCAGCAGAGGGGTTTCTTTCACAACCCATCTAGATTGCCCAGGGCCCAAGTTCAGAAGTAGTTGAAGTTTTGTTTTGGCCTGGGGATGGAGTAGGGGCGGGGCAAGAACATTCCTGGGAGCAGAGAAGGGCCTACATTTGGCACCAGACTGTGACATAGGAGGTTCCTTGGCCTTCTGATCTCAGGCTGGTCAGTGCTGGTCCCCAGTTGGTTTGGACAAGGCATCACCGCTTCCTCACCTTCCTACAAGGGTAACATGTACCCCTGTTAGTGCTTTGGTAGGGCAGGGTAAGGGCAGTGAAACCAAGCTGAAGAGCCAATTTACCTACACTGAGGTGCAAGGACTCTACAGGTCAAAGGTGAGAGGTCACCTGCTTTTTTTTTTTTTTTTTTTGAGACAGAGCCTCAAGCTATCCCCCTGGGTAGAGTGCCATGGCATCACAGCTCACAGCAACCTCCAACTCCTGGGCTCAAGCGAGTCTCCTGCCTCAGCCTCCCAAGTAGCTGGGACTACAGGCACCCGCCACAACACCCGGCCATTTTTTTTTTGGTTGCAGCAATCATTGTTGTTTGGCGGGCCGGGCTGGGGATTCGAACCCGCCACCTTAGGTGTATGTGGCTGGCGCCTTAGCCGCTTGAGCCACAGGCGCCGAGCCGGGAGGTCACCTGCTAAAGGGAAATCCGTAATATTGTCCAGCTGGACCAAAGGCCACTGTAGATCTTCCCCCCTCAGAGCAGCTGCCACCACCATTCTTGGCTCTTTTTTCCACTCTAGATAGACTGACAGAAGCTTTCCAGGGAGGACTAGTCAGGATGCTAAATGAGGGGGAAGGTAGCCATAGCCTTGCCTGAGATCCTGGTCTGCTGCTCGTGAGTCCTGATAAGGCTTGAATTCAATCCCTCCCTGGCCTGAGCATGACCCAGTCTGTAGAAACCACAGCACTGGTGCTTGAGGGATCCTCTTCAGGTGAGCAAGGATTCTACCTGTGAAGCAGAGAACGCACTTTATACCACTCCCAGGAGCCTTGGACCAAATCGCTTCCCCTACTCCCAGAAGAAAGGCGAGGGCTGTTTTGGTGGTGGGCCTTTTGATTTTTCTAGCAACAACATAGGACATTCCCTTTCTGTCACTGTCAGGTCACAGTCTTCCTCCTCCTTACCTCCTGGTGTTTTTCTTCTGGGCCCTGGAATCCCAGTGTGACCAGGGTCTGCTATCTGTGTACCATCCCCTGACCTCCCGCTGCCCACGTTGTTCTGCCCACAATTTTCCTATCTCCAATTTGTTCTCATGTGTCCAGAAAACAATTTCCTCATGTCTGTAAATGTCAGACTCTTGCTACTTCCTCCATTTGCTGTGAGCTACTTCATTGCTCTACAAATGCCAGTCAAGGGTTAGCAGAAAAAAAATAAAACAAGGAAGCCAGGGCCAAGGGCGGCTCTGACGAATTCTCTAGCAGAGGAGAACTTAAACTGTATCATCAAATGAGACTTGGGGATTATCTATTATTTTAAATATCCTTGCCACTTCAACTGTTATTTATTCAGTCATAGACAGGCAAGCCTAGCCCTGAGCCTCCAGAATTTATCCATCTGAAAATCTGTTTCATAAGGACAGCTTAAGCTGCAAGGCTGGGCTGGGAGCCAAAGGCAGCATGGGTGCAGGGATCTTCAGGGTCAGATGCCCACAGGGCCTCTGAGGGCTGCTGCAGACATGGCTGAGGCAGCCTGGGTCTGAGTTCAGTGGAAGGGCAGAGTCTGGGGAGGTGCTACTCCATCAAAATCTCAAAGGTCAATTTAGGGCTTCCTATTTCTTTTTCTGGCCATACTTAGATTTAGAACAACACTAACATAGAAAATGCGGTTGCTGTAAAGCCGATAATGATTTTTTTTTTTTTTTTTTGAGATAGAGTCTCATTTTGCTACCCTCGGTAGAGTGCCATGGCCTCATAGCTCACAGCAACCTCAAAGTCTTGGGCTGAAGCAATCCTCCTCCCTCAGCCTCCCAATGAGAAGCCCATTGAAACACCTGGCTATTTTTAGAGATGGGGTCTTGCTCTTGCTCAGGCTGGTCTCCAACTCCTGAGCGCAGGTAATCCACCTGCCTCAGACTCCCAGAGTGGAAGGATTACAGGCGTGAGCCACCGCACCCGGCCCTAAAGCCAGTAGTGTTGATGTGCTTGGGAGCCTGAACCCGCTAGCCCCACAGTCTAAGCTCAAGTCTTGTTCAATCACCACTTTTCTTTGGCTTTGTGACCTCTGGTTTCCTCATCTATAAAATGAGGCTTTTACCATATACCTTCCAGGATTGCTATGAGTGGTAAACAAGGCAACATATATGCCAAATGTTTAGCAAATAATAACCTTTATTAGTAGTATTTTTTATTGTCATTATCACAGCCCAGTGCAGGTGAGGTAGCAAGGTAGGTCTGATACAGTCTAAGCACACTCCCCAGCCAGGAGCCACTCAGAGCCTCTGAGTTTCCCACAAGGCTGGAGTTCAGAAGCACTTAATTGGAAGGGGTTGCCCTAGAGGTCACTTCCTTTTGAATGTTGCTGTTGGAGCAGGGTCCCCAGAGACTCATTGCAATTAGCTGGTTGAAGCAGTTTTGAGAGCTGTGCGTGCCCACAAAGCCAGATTTCAGCACGCTGA